CCTCCTATCTCCACCGCTTCTTGCCCCCTCCTCCTTCTCACCAGCTTCTCCCCTCCTCACCACCTTGTCCCTTCTCCCCTTCCTCTCACCCACTTACTCCCTTTCGCCACACTTCTCCCTTCTCCCCTTCCTCCTTCTCACCACTTCTCCCCCTCCTCCGTCTCACCAGCTTCTCCCTCCTCCACACCTTCCTCTCTCCCCTCTCTTCCCACTAACTAGTACTAATCTAACTTCCTCCTCCTTCCTCCCCTCCTTCACTGCTCTTCCTACCCTAGTACCAGAACTAATCAGATTATCTTAACCGGATCTGGTCGAATTTAACCGACACGTTGGTAATTCAGTAAGAACAATCCCTATCTGGTCATTTAACGACACGTTGTAATTCAGTAATAACCAATCCCTATGGTCGATTTAACTAACCGTTGTAATTCATTATAAGACGCGTGGGATCGGAATTACAACCACGTCTTATACATCTTCACACGTGCAATTCGAAGTTACAACACGTCTTATTCTTCTCCGACAACGTGGCAATTCAGAATTACCAACACGTCCTTAATCTTTCGACACGTCGCAAATTTCGAATTACAACACTCATTAATTCTTTCGACACGTAGCCAATTCTAATACAATCGTGTCGAAAGAATTAACGAGTGTTGGAAGTATCGAATGCGACCGTAGTCGAAAGATATTAAAGACGTGTGTAATTCAATGCGACTGTCGAAAGAATTTAAGGGACGTGTTATAATTCGTAATTGCACCGTGTCGGAAATTTAATCGACGATGTTGTAATTACAATAGCGACACGTAACAATTCGAATTACCACGTCGGTGTGGTTGCTTTTATGAACAGTTCCTGCTTCCATAGGGGATAGAGCGTCGCGCGCGCCCGCGCCCCACAGCTGTAGTATGCGCGCGGCAGTGATATACGCGCGCGCGCGCGTCCGCGGCGCAGCAGTCTATGTTGCACCGCGTTGTGCGCAGTACGACGTTGATACATCGCGCGCGTGCAAGTGTGTAAATATCGAGCATGAGTGATATTTAGTGTAGCATTGTATGCTATTACCTTAGTTTAGTGAGTTATATTTGCGGGGAGAGATGCTGAACGGTAGCGGACGATGCTAGCGTTGTGAGAGAATAATCAGAAAGAGCGGGGCGTTCAACGAGAGGGGCGGAGTGGTCCAATGGAAGCAATACAGAGTGGTATGACGCAGGTAGCAGAGAACCGATTGTGAGCTTCGAAAAGAAATGCGAATCTGTGAGACATTACTTGTACGTCACGACTTCACGTGGTTGATGATGAATATATAAGCCCGTCGCGCGGTGCGGACGAGAACAGCTTAGTGTTTTTGAGACTAGCCAGTTGAGCAAACAGTAGAAGTTGTGAGAGAGAGAGAGTTCAAGTAGAGATAGAGAGAGAGAGAGAGAGAAGAGCGCGCGCGTGAGAGAGAGAAGGAGAGCGGAGTAGCGTGACGCCGCGCTTATTGTACGTAATCGCCCATTGCTCGCTGCCTGTGTGTGTAACTACATAATTGGCGATCGGAGTGTCAACCCTTAATAAACAGCCGCTTATCCTTCATATTATACTCTACTTCTATCTTCGGCCCTTTTTCGAACTGCACGTATTCGGCAAGCCTTTCCTATGACGAGCTGAGTCGGTGTAGACGACGAAGGGATTGAGAAACACACGCAACGCACGGCGCCTGTCAAGTCCGTGTGAAAAAAAGGGCTACGACGAAAAAAGGAGACATAACTAGAGACGGCGACGAAGATACATAAGTCGTACTGAGAACAAAAACGCTACAATTATATGATGATTATTCTTATTATAAAAATGACGCCTAGAAATACATATATCAAATACAAAGTTGATATATAGTATATATAATAATCATATATAATATATAAATATATATATATATATATATGTATATATATATATAGTACTAATATATATACAATAGAGCCATATTGTTTGAAAATATAAAAGATATGGTATCGCATCGAGTCAAGCCGCTATTACGCATACAACACAAGTCTGTCTGAGATTTCTGTTGCATATACGCTGACTATTGACCGGCTGACATAATTACAATTAACTATTTCTACATTACTATCACGCCATGACGGTCAAACCGACGTATAGCACAGAAATTTAAGAACAGACTTGGTTAGTCATAGCGCTATCCTTTCCAGATGCTTTGAACGCTACTAACCCAGCCGGTTAATATAATCTTATAAAACCTATTTCATATCTTAACAGATATTCCTCTATAAGTATTTACGAAGCCTATAGAAGACATACGATAATAATGCAGAAATTCGCTGCACCACAGCCAGGGCACTCCATATATATTAAGACATAGTATATGTTGCGCGGAAACCCCTATTTTCAACCTAAACTCCTTTCCAGTGCATCGCATTTTTAAGAATATTCTCGTTTAATCCCAGAAGCATCAACAGTTTAATTTAACATGCACATCTTACATTTTTGCCTTTCAGCACAGACCATAGTTTTAACATTATCAAGTGTTGACAAAATGATATATTGACTGTTAGCCGAAGGTTCAGTAACATTTTGGCCAATTTACTTTAAGTTTTTGTTATTGAAAAATTATTATTAAACTGAGGCCCCTAATAATGGTACTCTAGTACGTCATGTTGTGTTATTAGTATGCAATTTAATATCCAGAACTAAACTCTTCAAGCATTCCACTAATTGAACCGTCCTATGAACAATATTTTGGTTGGGTAACACATTTCTCCACTGACTCAAAATAGAACTTTTTGAGCCACGCCCTTTCGAGCGAATTACTACATCCACCGTGCAACGTATCTACAAAGCGATTGTACCTAGAGTTGCTCGACACTTAAGAATGTCCGCAATGTCGACATTTATGGGAGTCATATACATTTTTATATCCAAAAGTTCAATGTTTTTAAGATAATTGCCAAAAACCGATTTACAGATGTTACGCACTTACAAATATATTTCGTAATTTCCTTTATTTGATTTCTACACTTTTCTGACTTTACTTACACCCAAAACGTCACATATTTTATGTCCTTTCCTCCGCAAGTGGCAACGTATTGTACTCATACATGATATTGGGCATTGAATGAGGGGGCAGGCTTATCGGCCATGCACGATACGACAGTATCACTGGTGTTATGCAACATCCGTTTGCCTTCAATATCACATACTGGAGTGAATCTGTTTGTGCCTGCAGCGATTGGTTTCAAACCACATCTTACACTGCAAATATGCTCGACTTATATGTTGTTCTTCGTAGCGTTGAATGCAAACAGCACAACAAGTGGCTTAAAGTCAGTTCTTCATCTGGGTTGTGGTACTGCTCCCATTGATATTCATCGAAGTGAACAGTCTGTCTTATTTAATCCAAAACAACAAGAAACTTTTCAACATTTTTGTCTGTGTAACAATCTTTTCAACAAACCCATTCAGTAGGGAGAGATCATAGGGATCTTTCAGGCCAACAGCTTGACCACCTTGCTGTTACCTGATCGCAAACGCGAGAGCTCATGAATGGCTGGGAGACACGACACCAAACCGTTGTCCAGTGATCAACAACAGGTGACTGTACAGTTTCTTTGTTTCGTTGCCAAGCTTACACGTACCAGCTGGTAGTTGACAGGTTTGTTAAGTGGAAAGATGAGCGTTGACAAAGATCATCGTGTCAGGTATTCAACCAAGATGACATTGACAACCATCATTAATATGGAACATGATTCTGTCGTCTGTATCTTCTTTGTTGCTTGAGAGCTCTTCGATCTGTGTTTCAGTGCAGACAACAATTCCTGCATTCACCCCATATACTCCAAAGAAGATCGCCTTGTTCCGACTCGACATTACTGCAGCATCTACTGAAACATACTCCTGCAACCGACTTTGTTTTCAACAATTGAGTCCAGAACATATCAGAATCGACAGGGAGTTATTGATTCAAAACCTAATTCGTTATATTATTTTCTAAAAGAACTTCTTTGCCATTCCATTGCTGATTGATAATTTCTTGATAAACATCAAAACAAAATCTATTCATGTGGACCTCGAGCCTGTTACAAAGAATTGTTGAAAGACTCTCAGCAATTCCCCGAATATGTGAAGCCCATTTTTCATCCAGTATGTTGCGCAAGTGTCATGAATCCACTATGTCATCCTTTACAGAGCTCATCTCTTTCCATTATCGTCTCCGTGGAAGTTGCCGACAAGTCCCTGCTAATGATTTATGAGCTTCTTCAATACTGATGCCATCTTTACATTCCATGTGATAATGGATGTCTGGTCAATTAATACTTCAGGAGTTCTGCATGGCTGTACCCTTTTTCTCTCGCATAGTCAATCGTACCTAATCGTTTATGCACATCCTTTATTCGCATTGATGCTTCGCTTGGACGATAGAATACAGTTCACAAAACAGTACTTACGCTTGTTAGCAATTCTATCATGTAGTGACTCTCCTTATGCCTCTGAAGTCTGATTCTAGCGCCACGAATCTGATGTTTATTGTAATCCGAACGTATTTCGCACGACATTCAATCTTCGTAGAAAATTGATTGAACTCATGCTGTATCTCAGTATCACTGTCATCTTGTCTCCCAAGTCTACACCATTCAGCGCTGTGCACATAACATCTTTCTCATCTTTAGGAGATTCCATTTATGCTACTTGCCTTCTTTCTGTCTATCATCCAATGAACTCCAGCACCTTGGCGGTTTATTGAACACTTTCCCCATTGCCAGTTCAAATCCTCTCACTGCCTTTCGGAGAGGTGTTACATCACCCACTCCACCATCTGGAAAGCCCATCTGTAAATACCCGGATAAACTGCCTTTGTATCGTCCAGCCAATCTTTCAAGAACAGCGATACCCCATCATCCTATAGTTTTGTCCGGACCAAACCGAAACAAAGGCAATGCACCTCCGCTACAGCATGAAACCGAAAAGATGCCAATCGCTTGCCGAATAAAAGTGTGTAAGATCTCTCAGGATAGATACAGTGCATCCAGAAACAAAGCTCCAGGCCTCACATACTTATTACAGACTTTCTTCCATTCTGTGAAGACTGCTTCAAGTCATTGCATTTAAGTTCTGCTTTACTTCCAAATCTCTCTGAACTCTGTACACTCAACATCTGAAAGCCTGCTATCTAGTTTCATGTCTCATATTTACTGTCTAATCACAACTATACTGTCCTGCGTCAGGTTGAAACTTCTCAAACAGAAGAACTGTCATCACCTCTGATACTCAAGACTCATTGCCTCTTACCTTTGACAAAGACCTCAGTGTGATACTATCTCTACAAAAAGCCTTGCCAGGCTTCAGTCTCAATCAAAGCAGATCATACCGATACAGCCTAAAACAACTTCCCAAACAATCGATGCATTTCTCCTGTGAAATGGTCCCATTCCAAGGAACCAAACCAACCAAAATCAGAAACCAGATCCACTTCAAGTATGGATAATGAATGAACAGAATGTCGACATAACACAACAGTATACTGCAGTATCTTCAGCCGATGCCTGCCCCTCCAATGCAAATGTCCCAACATCATGTACTGGGTACCAAACGCTGCACTTGCCAGATGAACAAGAACATAAAATGGTACGTTACATGTAAAGCAGAAAAAAGTGTAAGAAATCCAAATAATAGGAACAATTACGAATAATGTAGGCGTAACATACTGAAACGGTTAAATTGGCAATTATCTTAAAAAACCATTTGACTTTTGAGATGAAAATGTATTACCTTGATTCACCATATTTTGCCATTGCGCACTTTTGATGGTCGGGCAACCTCCTAGTCAACCTCTTCTTAATACATCACGGTGAGATGGTATTTACTTTGCTCAAAAAGGCGTGGCCCAAAAGCTATTATCGACTGTCAGTGGAAATGTTTACAACCAAATATTGTTCCTGGACCTTCATTAGTGGATTCTTGAAGAGTTTCAGTTTCTCTGACATAAATTGCAATACAAAACACCTGAGCCTTACTAAAGCATGGATGCGTTTGGTTAACTTACTTTTCAAGTTATTTGCTATGCGTTGTGTGTGTGCAGTGTGCGTCGTGCGTGCGTGTGCGGATGCGATGTGCGTGTGCGTGTGCGTTCGTGTAGCGTCTGCGGTGCGCTGCGTGTGCGTGTGCGTCTGCGTGTGCATGCTTTTGTTGATGTGTAGTGTGTGTGTAGTATATGTGTTGTGTCGTGTGGTGTGTTGCGTGTTTGTGATGTGTGTCGCCGTGTGGTATTGTACATGTGTGTGTGTGTTGTCGTGTGTCGTGTGATGTGTGTGTGTGTGTGTGTGTGTGTACATGTGTGTGTGTGTGCGCGCGCGCGTGTGTGTGTGCGTGCGTGTGTGTGTGTGTTGTGTGCGCGCGCACGTGTGTCTGTGTGTGTGTGTGTGTGTGTGTGTGTGTGTGTGTGTATGTGTGTGTGTGTCAGGTTAATCCCTTTCATAGACCCAGGGTGCCAGTCATCCTATCGGACCATCGTAGTATGGACAAAAAAAACAACTAAGGGCCATACAACGAACAGCCTTTAGGCGCATGCATTGGGCTATAGCTGCCATAATATACCCAATGCGGTAGTGAATTGTGGTTCGATCTGTAAATGTAGCACACTGCTGGTGTAGTTCAAAGAAGTTGGTGAAATTGGTTTTGAGAAATAGCTTAAAGTTAGCATTACTATAGAATTCTCATGACTGTATTCTGTGCACTAAATAAAACCCCGCTAGATTATCTTAGTAAGGTAAAGGGGTGCCCATTGAAATTTTTTCGCATGGGTATAGTTTTCACCCCCCCCCCCAATTGGTACCGCAGTCATATGATTATGTAAGCGCTACAGCGATAGGTGACACGTATTCTGAATAGGCACAGTTTGAAGCGTTCATTCCGGCGATGTGCGGCTGATTTGTTCTAGCTGTTCACTTCTATAAATCATTCTTAATATTGAATTTCAACTACTGGCAATGTCACAGCTAGTTTGTGTGATAATTATTTTTCTGATTGGTAGAACGTCAGAATCGGTCACTGTGCATGTTTTCATCTGTTAATAGTTCTTATAACTACACAATTATTATGTTTCCGTATCATTCACTATTTTATCTCTGATCAGCGGGAATCACTTTGAATATGACGTATAACATTATATGTATGTTTAAATCTCAGGTCACTCCCTTCCGTCGGAGTATAATTGGTGGTCTATGTAATGGAAAGATGATACACATCCAAGCCGTGCCAATACCATCTGCTAAGACGTATGACGTGCTATATTATACAGCTGTTAAGACCATTCAATTCGATTAGACATCCATATCCTGTTGAATAAAACAATTAATATATTATGCATCTTTTGCCAATAAGAATATAATTGCAAATAATTTTTCTGCATGGAGCGTAGTATCACATGTTTACATGAGTGCTATACAATTTAAAGTTTACAATTTACTATACGCAGTTAATTGCTGAGCTGATATTGATTACGGGTAAGACATATAATAATAACCATCTGAAACGAGGTGTGACGACACGTGTTATGCTTGAGTGCATAGAATTGCCCATGCATGGTATATGTGATCGATAAAAATATTGTGATGCAATAATTGCAATTTCTGTTTAATCGGTAGTTTTAAGATCGAGCTATGCTGTGGGCCAACGCCATTTCCCGGCTGCGACGTCGCGCTGTCGATGAATACACATTTCTTCCCTCCCGGCAACCGCCAGTTCACACTCACCACCTACCGAAACAAGCAGTGGGTCGCTAGCGTGCGGGGAAGCAGCTTTCCATTCAGCGCCGGAGCAACTTTCGAGATGATCATACTGATAGAGGCTGGAAATTATAAAGTATTTTGATTCATATATAGTTATGGTTCACCCATTTTTAGCTAATCTTGACATCGTCAAGCTGAGCTATTGCCATGGGTCGTCGTCCGTCGTACGTCCGTCCGTCCGTCCGTCCGTCCGTCCGTCAACATTTGGCTACTGTCAACGATAACTCAGGAACTGTTTGACACACATGTTTGAAATTGGGTATAGTTGTTAGTGCTATGCTCCCATATTAAACGTCCTATTTTGGAGCACGTCAGTCGACGTGCTTTCTAGCCACGGCAATTTTTTGCCAAAAATGGGAATTGCCAATTTAATTAGTCAGTTCAGGTTCAACAGATTTTGCTCATTTTTGGTATGTGAATGAATAAGGGCTAGGGGTTTTGAATATTAAAATTAAAAAGCAAAGTTAGGTCGGTTTGGCAAATTATATAAGCATATTACTAATACGACACGGGCTATAGATAAAAACAGTCAGTATGGTTCACACTCCGTCCCCCCTGGTTCTGTTTTACAAGATTTCACTGACACAATATCTTGTTAATGCAAAATTCCTGCTATAACATAATTTACAATTCCTGCTTATGAACATAATTATGAATTTATACTATTTTATATATTATCATCATACAGTCATTATTGATTATTTATTATTAGGTATCTATGATTTTATGCTAAGAAACATACAAAGGCGGGTGTAGCGCCATCTACCCTCACAAATTGTGATTCGATTTTTGTTTATACAATTAATTTATAATTTATATTATAATCATCAAAGAGCTAATAATACCTTTAGTTGCCTTGAATAGTATTATTAGCTCTTGATTAATATTATTTATTAGTTTTCACATAAAAATGATTACACATAATTTTCAGAAGTATATAATCGGGGACGTTCTGCCCATATTATACTCTTTCGCGTTTCTAAAATGTATTTGGGCGTTGATGGTTGCTCAGATTAAACACCTGCCTTCTTCCTCACTCACTCAATTTGTGTCCTCTTTTGCTGTGGTGATGACCGTGTCACGTTGACACTTTTATATAGTACAATTATACCAAATTAGTAAAGATTGTGTTGCATTCTTTTTGTGGAAATGTGTGAAATCGATTTCTATAGTTTCTGTGAATGTTGTATCCATGTATACCCTGATTAATGACGAAAGTACCCTGTTTTGCTCCCTAGATTGCAGTGAATGGAACTCCACTTCGCCAGACTTCAAGCATGTCATACCTCATTCGCGCTGTGACAGAACTCTAACAATAGAGGAGAGATAAGTGCATTAACCCAACCTCCTGTTAGATCCAGTGTATTGCTTTATATTATCAATGATCAGCATCACAAGTGACAGATCGAGAATTCGTCCAGGCGCCTAAAGTGAAATTGTTCTGAAATGGTTTTGGCCTGACTTGCTGCTGTCATGCGGTTAGTCAAACGGTAATGGCATTCGGCATCCATCTGCGAACAATAATTTCAGATGACCGTTTATCGCAACACCAATAGCATTCGTTGTTTTCAGTAGCGTGCACACCGGCCAACCCCAAGTCGTCTACCCACCGACACTCCGCAGTATAACGACGAGTTTGATGTTGAATAATTTAGAGTAAAAATAAATGCAAGAGAAGTGTAGAATTTGTATTTCACTGTTAAAGAATATCTTGTTTACACTAACTGCTACCGTTCTAATACATCACACTCACACTAACCGTCTCCCGTCACGTCCATTTCCATCCAGTCAAGTCCCCAGACAAAGAACCGCGCACGCGTGCACTTCCTCTCAAGCTCCCCAGCCGACCCCTTATCTGTAACTAACCACAACCCTATGTCGCCTACGCTATTTCACCAATCGAGCGCCTAGAATCTAGCCTAAACGTAAGCCACGCTTCCGTTCTACCTCTACACCATCGCCAACCCTAATTCTATCCTACATGCTAAACTGCCTGAACCCTACCCGCTAAGGCCTACCTACACACTAATGTACATCAGCTGTACGCACATGTTACATCAGATATAAGCCTATAACTTGATTGTAGCGCCATTTAAATATTATCTTTAATTACAACACACTCGTGTTCATGTGTAGGGTTACTGCAATACAAGAATCTAGCTACTAGGTCTCATGATTGTGTATTATTATATCGTTTTACAAAATTATTGGTCACTTAAAAACAACCCTGCTTTCCTGGACTACACTGTTAAACACGCTATTCGTGACACTTGCCTGATGTTAATGTTGCCTGTTGCCTGACGCTTGTCTCGCCCTATTAAAATACATTTATTAATTGAAGTTTAATTACAGCCCGTACCTTACCTGAAAGCAATACCAGGAGGGCTACGCATTGGGAGGATTATCAAGGTGTCTGCTTATCCTCTACAAACTGCAAACGACAAGTAAGGTGTTACAATTATTTGTGCGTTGAAAGCAATTAGGACGAAAGCAAATATGCATTGAATTTTATATTTAAGAAGCAACTGCATAAAGTGCGGCAGTACCCTAATGGTTCGTGGGTTGGTTTTCAGGCTCGCCGTGAGGTTTCTGTGCGGACCACATGCAGGTAGATCTGACATCGCGTTCACGTGCAGTCCTTGCTTTAAACGGCCGCTGCACATCATCCGCAACTACAGAGTGAACGGAAAGTGGGGCGCCCAGGACCGCACTTTCTATGGAGATCACGACTTCCCATTTCCACCGGGCGTTCCATTTGACCTGGTGATCAACTGCGACGCGGACAAATTCCGCGTGACGTGCAATGGCAAGCATCTGATTAAATTTTCATATCGTGTCATGCCCCTGCAGAGAATAGTCAACTTGGAGATCATTGGTGAGGTGTGCATTCAGAATGTGCGCGTTGAATAGAATATACGTTGACGCCTGATGAGGCGTTCGCTACCTTTGAATCTTAAGCAGACGAGCTCGAATTATTGATATTTGTAACTAATTAATGTTGAAAAAATTCCAACCGCGCGGCGAAGCGATTACCCTTATTGTTTAACTGTGATAAACACATAACATTATTTGAATGAAGAAAGGTCTCATATATTGAGTAAAATAAATATATTATTTCAACAAATTTCTTGATACAAGCAGTTTTGGTGGCACGAAGTAATGTATGACAATAACTGTTTGACCGCTAACGACAATCCATGCACTGATACCATGGTCGAGGTTACATACAAATATACAAATATGCAAGCATGGGATGCACACACTCAGACAGACCCTCCCATAGCCAAGGGAGGGTCGGCAAGGTCAGACGACCCTCTTTCTTAACAGCCACTGGTCCGCTCTTTCAAGACAGTTATTTACCCAGTTATCTGAAGTCTGAACATGTTCTAAACTATACATTATTACCATTTTCTTTAGTGAACTGAATAATTATGCGTACACAATGCGTTTGGTGTACCGAAGAGTTCCGAACTAAAAAGTTATAAAAATATATAGCCCTACTAGTTTGCATATCGCGTGGAGCAGTTAGCTGCCAGAAGCGACATGTGTCACGAAAATCAAACGTCCTACGCGACGCAGCCGCCTGCTTTCCAGGAATCGGAACGATTTGGCATTCTGCCGGTGTGCAGTCTGCCTGATGTGATCATGAAAATGCTCCGATTAAGCGGTGAACACAATAAAGTGCGCGAGGATATTTTTTAGAAATACGTGTCGTTTAAGCGATGTGTCCGATTATCTGAGACCAAATAAAGCAGA